CTGGGAGAGGGTCAGCACACCTGCAAACAGGACCGAGTCAGAGCTCAGGGAGCACTGCTGGGAGAGGGTCAGCACACCTGCACACAGGACCGAGTCAGAGCTCAGGCAGCACTGCTGGGAGAGGGTCAGCACACCTGCACACAGGACCGAGTCAGAGCTCAGGGAGCACTTTTGGGAGAGGGTCGGCAAAAAGCAGCAGCTGCACAGGTGGTACAGCCTCTGCTTGGCCGATGCTGGCCGGCCTGCTGGGGTCAGTGTCCTGGCCCAGCGCCTGCAGGGTAGAGTTGCTCACACTCCAGCAGGGTCAGGGGACAGCTGCTCGAGGTGCCCAGGGATGCTGAGCCAGGCTCCTCCAGGGCATGATAGGGGTTTAATTTCTATAAATAGGTGGCTCTGGGGCAAGGATACTTAACCATAAGCAGTCTTCACACCTCTGTTTTCTGTTATTCCCAAATAGCACTACTGGTACCAAACTTATTCTTGAAACTGCTTTGATGGCGTAACATGTCCACACTTTATTTATCTATTTATCTATCTATCTATTTATTTATTTATTTACTTACTTAGAGACAGAGTCTCGCTCTCGCTCTGTCACCCAGGCTGGAGGGCAGTGGCGTGATCTCAGCTCACTGCAAGCTCCGTCTGCCAGGTTCACACCATTCTCTTGCCTCAGCCTCCCAAGCAGCTGGGACTATAAACATCCGCCACCACGCCCGGCTAATTTTTTGTATTTTTAGAGAAGCAGGATTTCACCGTGTTAGCTAGGATGGTCTCAATCTCCTGACCTCGTGATCCATCTGCCTCAGCCTCCCAAAGTGCTGGGATTACAGGCATGAGCCATTGCACCAGGCCCTATTTATTTATTTTGAGACAGAGTCTCTCTCTGTTGCCCAGGCTGGAGTGCAGTGGCGCAACCTTGGCTCACTGCAACCTCTGTCTCCTGGGTTCAAGCAATTCTCCCTGCCTTGGCCTCCCGAGTAGCTGGGATTACAGGCGCCTGCCACCACGCCCCGTTAATTTTTGTATTACACTTTAAATTAGGCAACTGATCAAGGCTGTGAAAAGAATGGCTCCGGATCAAGAGGTCAGGAAATCGAGACCATCCTGGCTAACACGGTGAAACCCCATCTCTACTAAAAATACAAAAAAGAAAAAAGAAAAAGAAAAAGAAAAGAAAAAGAATGGCCCCATAAGTTCTTCCCACTAAAAATTGAATCTTGACATTGCTAAAATTAAAAATGAATACACATATGAAAAATGAATTTGTATATAGGACTACATTTCAATACGTGAAGAAAAACTCTTAACGAAAATTAGTGAAATGCCCATTTTGTAAAATATCTTTAAAGAAATAGAAGTCTAGGCTTGCACCTGTAACCCCTGAGTTTTGGGAAGCTGAGGTGGGAGGATCACTTAAGGCCAGGTGTTCAAGACTACTCTGGGCAGCATAGTAAAACGTCATCTGTACAAAAAATAAAAAAATCAGCCCAGTACAGTAGCATCTGCCTGTAGTCCCAGGGCTTTGGGAGGCTGAGCCAGGAGGATCCCTTGAGCCCAGGAGTTCAAGGCTACAGTGAGCTATGGTTATACCACTACACTCCAGCCCGAGCAGCAGAGCAAAACCCTGTCTCTAAAATAAAAATACTTTTAAAAAGAGATACAATTGTATTTTGGATATATACGGTCAAGTCTATTTAGAATGTTAGGACATGATATTGGTTATTTAAGTGTAAATGTGTATTTACACAATGTATTTGAGTGCTAAAAATGTCTAGGTCTTTATAAACTGTTATGCTCTATTTGAAACATGCCTTTCTTTCCCCAGTAATCTAGTTGGTGCAATACATTTTCACTACTTTGAGGAATAAGATTGCTAATCAAAGGCAAATTTTTTTGCTAAGTTAGCAGAAATTTCAGTTGAGTGGCTTCCAAATTAATTTTAGGTATTTATAATGTAGTCATTGATGGTTCCTATTTTATTTTGCCCTCTCGAAAACATACAAACTTAGCCAGTTCAGATCTACAGTGGATGGTAGGAAAGGCCATTTTTAGTGAAAATACTTTAAGAAATTATTAGAATCATTTATGGAACCTATGTTACAGCTACTTTATCAAAGAAATGGCTGAAAAAATCAAATAAATATGACCCCTGAACTTTTAGGAACTTAAATGAGTTTTCTTCTTCCTTTCACACCCCAATACAGTTGTAATGTTGGAAATGGGATTGAAGCTAGGAAAAACTGAGGTGATATAGAAGCAGAGACTCCAGTCTTTTTTGTTTGTTTGCTTGTTTGTTTGTTTTGTTACGGAGTCTCACTCTGTTGCCCAGGCTGGAGTGCAGTGGCCCGATCTTGGCTCATTGCAGCCTCCACCTCCTGGGTTCAAGTGATTCTCAGCCTCTTGAATAGCTGGGATTACAGGCATGTGCCACCATGCCCAGCTAATTTTTGTATTTTTAGCAGAGACGGGTTTCACCATGTTGGCCAGGCTGGTCTCAAACTCCTGGCCTCAAATGATCAGCCCACCTCGGCCTCCCAAAGTGGTGGGATTACAGGCATGAGCCACCGCACCTGGCCAGTTTTTACTATTACAATTTAACAGGTCTTCTACACCTCGAAGCTCAGATAAATTCTACCTGTTTCCACAATGCTTTGAATTATTTCATATTTTACATTCATTCTTCATCTGGAATTTACTTTAATTCATATGGTATCTTTAGCTTTGTTCTCTTTTCTTTCAAAGATCCTGGAAGTTTTAACTTCGCACCCTGCCTGTTCATCCTCAGCAGCTCCTCTGGGGATTTCGCGGCCACGGAGTTTGTGCACCCTGCCCGAGCCCCCTCTGTGGTCAGTTCCATGCCCTTCCTGCAGGAAGATCTGTACAGCGTGCCCCAGTCGGGTACTGCTTGCCGGTGGCAGCTATGCTGAGCAGCAGAAGACACACCTTCCATGTGCTTCTGCACACCCACAACATATGCTTATCCTCACCCCTAAACCAAAAGGAAGGAGGGTGAAATCAGCCACACATTATAGCATAAGAAACGAGGCTCAGTTACTTAACCCACCCAAAGATGTCAGCTAAGAACAGGTTGAGCACCACAGCGGCAGGCCTGGCGTCTCTGCTCTTCTCCCAGCCTTGCTCTCAGTCTTGTTGCTGCATGGTCACTGGTCGACTGCCATTGCTCCAGCCATCATGTTTGCATTCAAGACAGAAAGAGAAAGAAGGGTGGCGGAAAAAAGGGAACTTAATAGCCACATCTCTCTCTTTAATCAGATAAAAAAGACGTTTTCCCAGAAATCCCCAGCAGACTTCTGCTTATATCCCATTGGCCAGAGCTTGTCACATGGCCAACCCCAGCTGCAAGGGAGCCTGGGAAAGCAAATGGCGGGGGAGAAGGGTGTTGAGGTATCAGCTACATTAGCCAGTGAACAGGGTCTGCCATACCAAGTCTCCACAGCAGAGGCAAGACTCCAGCCTAGGTTTCTGATCCCAAGGTCAGGGCTGTTTCCACCAGGCCACCACCTCAAGACAGAAACCTCTGTGTCCTCATTCTGGTTGGGAAAGTCACAAGAGACTGGGCTTGACAGCCCCTCCCGCCTGCCCTCCAGTGAAGCCAAGGTCAGCTGCTTCTCAGTTTGTGTTTGTTGCTTCTCACATTACAAGAGCCTGGAGCTGCAGCCAGGGACCTCACCTTGCACTGAGAGCCCAGGGCACCACTGGAAGTGTGACCAGTGCACATGTCATGCTTGGAAAATCTTAGCCATCAGAAAGAGAGGCTGTGCCCACGCCCTTCATCCTGGGGCTCAGGGCGGGTTATCAACCTCCACTGGGCTTTTAAAGTGTGGCTTTCACAGAATCCTGAAATGCATGCTGGGAAAGGACACACGGTGAGCCGACCAGCAACAGTGAGAGGCGTTTTGCCCTGTGGAGTAAGAGTCAGGCTGACAATTTGAGGAGGAGAAAAAGTGAGGAGGAAAAGGCAGTAGAACAATTTTGATTTTTATTTCATTTTATATTTTTTAGAGGCAAGGTCTCACTCTGTCATCCAGGCTGGAGTGCAGTGGTGCAATCATGGCTCACTGCAGCCTCGAACTCCTGGGCTCAAGCGATCCTCCCTCCTTAGCTTCCTGAGTAGCTGAGACTACATGCATGCACCACCATACCGGGCTAATTTTTTTTTTTTTCTTTTTGTAGAGATAGGGTCTCATCATGTTGCCCAGGCTGGTCTTCAACCTCTGGGCTCAAGCAATCCTTCCTCCTCAGCCTCCCAAAGCACTGGGATTACCGGCATGAGCCACCACTCCTGGCCACAGTTTTGATGTTTAAAGCCCATTTCTCTGTAAGAGAACCATGAGCTCACCTCACTGCTAAGCAGTCGCGCCCAGGGCAGGAACGCCTCTGACCTGTCTGCCGTGAGATGTGTGCTCCAGTGTTGATTGTGCTCTTTGGAGATACGTGGTGCTAACAGCCCCTTGAGTGGCACATGCATTATCCCTTCCACTCTTAGCACAGTCCTGCCAGTATCCAGAAGGGCCACGAGCTTGAGCTGGGGCAAAGGGAGGAGGACCTGGAGGACGAGGAATGAAAGAGACTAACTCCTTGACGCCACCTTTCTCTGCCTAGAGGCTTCTCCCAGTTGAACTTTCAAAGGGCTGGGGTGTCCTGGGTTTCTGTTTGCCTCTTTGCCCCTGGTTTGACGGCCAAGGGGGTTTCCCCCTGTGACACACCAGCGGGGAGGAACAGCATCCACTAGGTTTGGGGAGGAGTGAGCTGGAAGTGTCCGTGAAGGAGCTCCTGACGGTCGGGGTCTGTCCCTGCCCTCACAGTGCTTTTCCCTGTTGACAATCACCATGAGGTGTACCTCTGGCAAGGCTGGTGGCCCATCGAGAACAAGATCACTGGTTCTGCCCGCATCTGCCCTGCCTCTGACCAGGAGAGCACGATGGAGACCGTACTCCAGTACTGCAAAGAAGAGGCCTCGCCAGCAGCTCCCCGGAGCCCTAGACCCTCTTTCTCTTCTGCATGGGTCAGCCAGTGTCTATAAAGCCTGGCAGGTGGTAATGAAACCCATTTTTCCCCCCTTTAATTTTTTTGAGATTTCTTAATTTTTAGATTAGTGCATTCTCAGCTGCCAGCATGAAGAACAACTAGTTTTTCTCTCTGGTATTATGAGGCCATCTAACATGTTACCCTCAAGGATAAAGGCTATATTGTGGAACGCCCCAGGCAGATTAAAACCCTGTTGTACTCCGGGTTGATCACGCTGAGAGACAAGTTGGCCTCTGCCACGTACATTATCTGCAACCACTACCATGCTGTTGGAGAATGAAAGTCTCCCCCAAATGGTGAATGGCCATTGCCAACCTTTTTATTATTTATTATTATTTTTAGTATTACATCCTAAAAGTAAGTTTGCAGTTTTTCATATACCATCCACATGAAATTTCTGGTCCTTTATGTAAAGTGAAAATACCAGTAATTAATATCACATTTTTATGGTTTCATTGATACTATTAGTTTAACATCACTGAGTATGTGCAATTGATTCTCTTCCTGAAGAACTGTTCAGCAATAAGTAACATATGAAACCTTCCACCCAATGTTATAGTGAATGTGGATGTATAAGATGCTGTCGTTCGCTGTCAGCCATATTGGAGTTAATCCCGTGGTAGGAAGGCAGAGGGATGCCGCTACAGTGAATTCAGGAGGAAGAAAATGCTCCACCCAGAAGCTGCAGACAGAGAAGCTCTCCCTTCCAGGAATACAGAGCGTTTTGTTAGGTTCAAGAAGTATAGACTCAGGTTGATTATAGGTCACTATTGTAGTCACAGGCATGAAACTAACATCTTATATAAACATTATCCATGTGTTGTTATGAACTACTTGTAACTTGCATTTTAAGCATGAAGTCATGAGTTCTGACAAAGAAGAAAAGATTTCAAGGGAAATCAGTGAAAGACAGGGTCTCCCTTGGGTCTACTGACGTTGCGTTCTGTGTAACTACAGGGAAAAATCTCAAGAAACCACCCCCCAAGTCTTACCTTATCCATGCTGGCCTGGAGCCCCTGACATTCACGAATATGTTTCCCAACTGGGAGCACAGAGAGGACATTGCTGAGATCACAGAGATGGTGAGCACGCTTTCCTGCCCTGTGAAGGTGGCTCCTGCGCCTTTTGGATTGTGGATTGACTTTACTTTGGGGAGAACATCCAGTTGCACTGTCAAAGTGGGAAAATATTTTTTATTTTGCAACATGATAACATGTCATAGAATTCGCTTAGGAAGAAGAGAAGTCTAACGGGAAATCAATTGAACTATTTTAGTAATTTTCTACACAGTGTACCCAAATTTTAAAAACTTAAAGCAAAGGTGAGTTTAATCATGCTGACTATATATGTACATAAAAGCCACGAACTCTTCATTCTGTTTGCCAAGAACCTGTTGCTTGGCATCGCTTGTCTCCAGTGTCCATGTGATGTGCAACCAAACCCTCATGTTTCAGACGTTAACCTTGTGTAGAGGAGACACAAACAAAATCTGATGAATTAGTGTGTTCAGATAACTGAATGAATGGATGTTCTGCGACTCACTTATGAGAAGGTATCGCTCAACATCTCATTCATGTTGTCTTTTATGAGACCACCTGGTATTTCCACATGAGCCATTTATCATAACTTCTATCCACTGAAATATATTGTTATCCAGAATGTTTTCCAACCACACAGAAAAGAAGTTACCTATAACTATGTTGAATTTCTTATTGATGAGCTATTAGCATTGCTAGGAATAGCAGTTCCGAGGATTTGTTTTGGTTTGATGGGAGATGGTGTTTTTCCGTTTTGATTTTTTTTTTTTTTTTTATGTAGGAGAGCTGCTTTGATTGGGGAAATGACCCAAGTGTATTTTGTTGTCTCAAATTTGTGTCTCTGACCGACTAAAATTAGGTTGTTTTACAGCAGGGAAGAAATGTAACCATGTGTGGGAAAACAGGAATGAAGGAGGGTTGAGGAAGAGGAGGTGGTCAACAGGAAGCAGGGAGTCAGTTGGGCATCATGAAGGGTGAGGGGCCTGGTAAGCTTCCATTTTTTCTTTTCTTTTCCAGCCCAGGCTGGAGTGCAGTACCACAATCACAGCTCACTGCAGCCTCCGCCTTCCAGGCTCAATCAATGCTCCCAGATCAGCCTCCCAAGTAGCTGGGACTACAAGCACACACAATGCCCAGCTAAGTTTGTATTTTCAGTGAGGTTTTGCCATGTTGTTCAGGCTGGTCTTGAACTCCTGGGCTCAAGCCATTTGTTGGCCTCAGCCTTCCAATGTACTAGGATTACAGGCTGGCTTTCCAAAGTGCTAGGATTACACTGTTGGCTTTCTGATACTCTCAGAGAGGCCTGATGGTTGATTTCCTGAGAAAGTAACTCAGATAAGACAAATATAACTTTCTCAAGTTTCAAAACTGGGATAGTCAAATTTTTGATGTTTATTCGAAGAAACCATAAACATCAGTTCTGTGGGACAGTTTAGCCAGTTTCAGAAGGAGGTAACTCACCATTCTCTCTCTGTATTCACTATAGATCCTGGGGGTTGGCAACGGGGCTGTTTACTGTTGTGCAGGCCCATGGGATTCCAGCCAGAAAAGAGTCGGGCTTTCCATGCCAGCAAGTTATACAAATAATTAACACTCACCAAGTGCTGATTCTGCACTAGGCACAACTCCAAGCACTTTACACTGATTGTCTCGTTTAATTATCACAACAGTTCATCAAGATCTATCTTCTTCTTATTCCCATTTTACTGGCGTGGGAGCAGAGGCACAGAAACGTGAATTGACTTTCAGCGAGTAGAAAAGTCAGTACTCAGATGCAGGCAGGATCACTCAAACACCTGCCTTCGTCTCGCTTTTTCTGAGACAAGGGCTTGCTGTGTCACCCAGGCTGGAGTATACTGATGCCATCATGGCTCATTGCAGCCTGGAACTTCCAGGTTAAAACCATCCCCCTGCCTCAGCCCCCTGAGTAGCTGGGACTATAGGTGTGCACCACCATGCCCAGCTGATTTTTGTATTTTTTGTAGAGATGGGGGGTCTCACTATGTTGCCCAGGCTGGTCTCAAACTCCTGGGCTCAAGCAATCTCCTGCCTTGGCCTCCCAAAGTACGGGGATTATAGGCATGAGCCACTATGCCCAGCCCAAAACCTGCCTGTTAACCACTAGTCCCCCCATATATTTGTGATCTGGGCAACAGCTATTAGTCATGCATTCCCATCATCCACCCACCCAAAAAGAGAGAAGCCAATCTGGGGTCCCAAGTTTAATGGAGGAAGAGAATTTACCCAGAATAGCTTGTTCAGATTAAATTCACACAATGGTTTAAAAGCAAACTTGATTCTGCTCCAAAATATTCTGGATGCACTTTCTGACCTTCTTTTTCTATTGTGGATTAAGAAGGTGCTGAGGCAGGCGGATCATGAGGTCAGGAGATCGAGACCATCGTGGCCAACATGGTGAAACCCTGTCTCTACTAAAACACAAAAAATTAGCCAGGCGTGGCGGTTCACGCCTGTAGTCCCAGCTACTAAGGGGGCTGAGACAGGGGAATCACTTGAACCTGGGAGGCGGAGATTGCCGAGATCGCGCCACTGCACTCCAGCCTGGCGACAGAGCAAGACTGTCTCAAAACAAAGAAAAAACAAGAAAAAAAAAAAAAATGAGGCCAGGGAGCGGAGGAGGGTGTGATTTCTTTTCAGTTTAATTATTTTAAAAATATTTTTAAACAAATTCCATTATTTGGAGGTCTCTGGTGTTTAGACTTAAAATTTACTAATCTTAGTCTGTAATTCACCCATGGTGAACATTTTTCCAGTGGCAGTCCTGAGATAAGATTTGTTTGAAACTCTGTGATAAGGTGAGAAAACATCTAAAAGTCAGAGAAACAAGATTCCATCTCTACAAAATATTTTTAAAGTGTATTAGGCGAGCATGGTGGCATGCATCTGCAGGCCCAGCTACTCAGGAGGCTGAGGTGGGAAGATCACTTGAGCCTAGGAGTTCAAGGCTATGGTGAACGATGATTGCACCACTGCACTCCAGCCTGGTGACAGAACGAGATACTGTCTCTAAAAAATAATAATAATAAAAGGGGGCCAAATGCAGTGGTTCACACCTGTAATCCCAGCGCATTATCAGGCTGAGGTGGGAGGATCACTTGAGGCCAAGAGTTTGAGACCAGCCTGGGCAACAGAGCAAGAGGGGAGGGGAGGGGAGGGGAGCAGAGGGGAGGGGAGGGAAAGAAGGAAGGAAGGAAGGAAGGAAGGAAGGAAGGAAGGAAGGAAGGAAGGAAGGAAGGAGAAACAAGAAAGAAGAAAGAATTAACCGGACATGGTGATGCACATGTGTAGTCCCTACTACTTGGGAGGCTAAGGCAGGAGAACCGCTTAAGCGCAGGAGTTCGAGGCTGCAGCGAGCTGTGATAGTGCCACTGAACTCCAGCCTGGATAACAGAGACCTTGTCTCCAAAATATTTTTTTTATTTAAAATTTAAAAATTAAAAAAATTAAAACTCAAGGCAACTGCAGGGCTTTGGGCAATCCCTTATCTTTCAGAGCCATTTCCTCCTCAGTGGTGTGGAGCCATGCATCTTCAGGCTGTGTGCAGATGGCACAGGGCTGTGTTTGCAAGCACTTAATGAAACAAGTTCAAATGTAGGACACAAGCCCTCCTCTCTGCCCCCTCCTCTTCTCTAGGACACGGAAGTTTCCAATCAGATCACCCTCGTGGAAGACGTCTTAGCCAAGCTCTGTAAAACCATTTATCTGCTGGCCGACCTCCTGGCCAGGCCACTCCCGGAGGGGATCGATCCTCTGAAGCTTGAGATCTATCTCACCGATGAAGACTTCGAGGTAAGTGGTTCTTCCGGTGGGGTGGGGATGGGAGTAAAACAACACACACATGCCCAGCTCATTTCACTGAGCCGCGGGGCGCTTCTCCCAATGTTTCCAGTTTGCACTAGACATGACAAGGAAAGAATACAATGCCCTGCCCTCCTGGAAGCAGGTGAACCTGAAGAAAACAGCAGGCCTGTTCTGAGTGGGGAGACGCCAGAGGAACCTCGGAGTCACGTCCAGTACCATCGCACCAGGGAAATGGATATATATTTTTGGACTGGTGTTTTCCACAAAGTATCTTTCAATCAGAGTTTTCAGAACCTGACATTGTTAAAGATACTACTTGTCTGGGAGTTGTGTATTTTGTAAACGTTCAAGGGAACTATTTGGGAACTTCTTTCCACCATTCAGCAGATTATCAGAATTAATAAAAGTATGTTACGTGCACTTAAGCCGCAGCTGCTGTAGATAGCACTGCCTTCTTGTTCCAACTAAGCAATGCTTTTTTCTTTTTTCTTTTTTTTGGAAGCAGTTCTCTTTATAAAGTGTTATTTTGATAGTTTGTGGATTCTAAAATATATGTATATTTATAGAAACACCATAAAAGTCAAACAAAGCAATATGTATTCGTTCACTTTCAAGATTTTTTTTAATGTCAAAATAATATGAAAAGGTAGATGGAGTTGCTTCTGTTGAATTAGCTCTGCCACCAATACGTATCTTCATACACATTTGGAAACGTTTCCTGCAGCATTAGGTATGACTTGTTCTGAGTACTGCTTCCGGTGCTAAAATGAACAACGAATTTGTGCTTAATGGCATGGACTCTGGAGAATCTATGCGAATCAGCTGTTCTACCTTAATATCTCCCCCAAAATGTATAGTGCCTTGTTTGATGTACAGTTTCTATACAGAACAGTTTGCTCTGCGTCTTTGATGATGGTTTGGAACATTACCTACAATTTTACTCTCAAAGAGTCAAAATAAAAACATCTCAATTTCTAATACCTCTTGTAAACAGTACACATTATTTTGTGATACAGGACTTTTGTCTTGTGCTTTTGGAAATAATAGCATCAGAATAAACACAACAATTAATTGATGGGTTAATACTAAATTCCAAGCATGTTCCTTTGTGGAATTTTTTTTTTTTTTTTTTTTGAGATGGAATCACACTTTTGTTGCCCAGACTGGAGTGCAATGGCACCATCTTAGCTCGTTGTAACCTCTGCCTCAGTTCAAGCAATTCTCCTGCCTCAGTCTCCTGAGTAGCTGGAACTATAGATGCCCACCACCACGCTTGGCTAATTTTTTGTATTTTTAGTAGAGACGGGGTTTCACCACGTTGGCCAGACTGGTCTCGAACTCCTGACCTCAAGTGATCCACCCTCCTTGGCCTCCCAAAGTTCTGGGATTGCAGGCTTGAGCCACTGTGCCTGGCCTCAACAGAAGTTCTTTACCCCACAACTCTATCTACATTTCAATTTCAAGATCTCAGTGCCTTAAAAAAAAAAGTATGTGGATAAGACGTCTAGAAAACTTGAAAATGAGTTAGAAAACTCTTCACAAGCGTATATGTTCTTAAAATACAAATTCATGGGTTTGAAGGTATTCTGTAGGCCTATTATGAGTTGTTACAGCCCTTCCCTATTCTCTGTTAGCCTAAGTTTAACACATTCCATCACAGCACACTTGCCTGAAACTTCAGAACTTACGTGCCCCACCCTTTCACTGCACCAGGGTAGGGACCTGTAACCTGCTCCTGGTCTCACCACTTTATGATTGTGTAATATTGGGCTGTCACTGAACTTCTCTGCCATGCTTTCCTTTAAAAAGGAGACACTCCTAGCTATCTCACCTGCATCACAAGATTCCAAGCGAGGATCTAGCGGAAGCTCTTTGAAAATTGCCAAGTGCTAGATACCTAATGGTATTAAGATCATTGTGACAGTAGCTGAAATAGGAAAGCAGGGGGGTTAAGTTAGGGAATGTTGTCATGCACCTAGAAATGATGGATTAAACCAAAGCAAGGAGAGGAAAAAGGAGAGAGAGAGGTTCAAACTCTATGTCCCATAGATAGCACGCAAAGAGGCGTGGAGAAAAGTCACTAGGGCAACCTGAGGGTCCGAAAGAAAGAGGCAGGGTTGCAACCTCTGCAGCAGGTTCCAGCAATCACCTGGATCCTTAGATACCCAGGACGTAGCTCGAGTTGCTACAGGAACTTCCAGTGGAGAGCTGCTGTAATCAATAAACAAGACAGGTGTCCTCATTAATATCCATTAACACCAGATTTTCCCAAAGTGCTTAAGAATCATGAATATCTACTTGTATTAAACATTGTCCCCCAAAATGTGCTGTCCGTTTGCTTCTCTTGTTGAATAAGACACCCCAGCTTGTAGTGCCAGTTTACTTTTTGCCTCTTTTCCTCTGAATTGTTTCCTGCATCTCTTTCCTGCTTATAGAACCAGGTTCTATTTTATTTATTTATTTATTTATTTATTTTTTTGAGATAGAGTCTTGCTGTGTAGCCCGGGCTGGAGTGCAGTGGCCGGATCTCAGCTCACTGCAAGCTCCGCCTCCTGGGTTTACGCCATTCTCCTGCCTCAGCCTCCCGAGTAGCTGGGACTACAGGCGCCCGCCACCTCGCCCGGCTAGTTTTTTGTATTTTTAGTACAGACGGGGTTTCACCGTGTTAGCCAGGATGGTCTCGATCTCCTGACCTCGTGATCCGCCCGTCTCGGCCTCCCAAAGTGCTGGGATTACAGGCTTGAGCCACCGCGCCCGGCCCAGATTCTATTTTCTATGTTTTTTTTCTGATCCTTTTCCTTCCATAACTGCAACCTTTGACCTTTGTGCACTGGGAAGCTGAAACATTCGAATTGCTAAACCTTAAAGTCTCAGCCCTTGAATTGACACTGGTGCCTGGGGCTTTTCTCCACAGTCCTCCAAACTCAAACCCCTGCTCTTACTACATGCAGCAGGGGCAGGGAAGTGGGATGTCCTTCATTTGCTGCCCGTGAACGAAGGGACTCATGAGAGGGGTGGGTGTTCGGGTTGAGATCGATGTCAGAGGTGCCGCGGGGCAGACGGGATGTTGAGCGTGTTCCGGAGCTTTGGATGAACTGTGCGAATATGAGCCACTCCCAGAGTGGGACAATCGTGCCCCTTCGTTCCCGAATCCGAGGAAGGGAAAGGCTGCTGCGAGCCCGCTTCTTTCTCTCCTACTTTACGTTTCCTGCCCCACTCTTAGAATTCCCATTTTGGTAAGAGGAAATGTATTCCAGAAACAGTTCCAGAATTCATTTTGGCCCTTTGGTTTTGTTTTTTGATTATAAAATTAGCCGTGTGTGTCCACACAGAGACCTGGACACAGATGTTCATAGTGACATTATTTGTACTAGCCCAGACCTGTAAACAACCCACGTGACCGTCAACTGAGAAACAGAAAAACAAAATGCAGGACCTTCATGCGATGGCGTCCTCCCCGATGGCAAAGAGACAGATATTCCTGCGTATACAAGATATACACGTGATACTCACTACGACATGGATACACCTCAAAAGCATTAAATGAAAGAAGCCAGATACAAAAGGCCGCATATTGTTTGATTCTTTTTATTTGAAACTTCCTGAAAAGGCAAATCTGTGCACACAGCAAGATGAGTGGTAGCTGGGGTTGGAGATGGGAGTGGAGGTTGACTGCAAATGGCATGAATGATCTTTTTGGGGCAATGGAAATGTTTTAAAACTGGATTGTGGTGATGGTGGCACAGCTCCATGAAGGATGAAAACTCACTGATGCTGGGCGCAGTGGCTCACTCCTGTAATCCCAGCACGTTAGGAGGCCACAGCAGGAGGATCGAGCCATGGCCCAGACAGAGAATTTGGCATTCATTTTCACAGGGCTTTCTTGATCTCAGATCCAGAGTAAAGCACATGTTTCAAAACAGGCCTCTGTGCAAATCCTTTCTGAACTAATGTAGCCACTAATAACCGGGGACCATTACCAAGAAGTCAATCAAGAGTACTGGTGCAAGTCCAAGGCAGCGGCTCATGCCTGGAATCCCAGTGCTTTGAGAGGTTGAGGGGGGAGAATCACTTGAGGCCAGGAGTTCAAGATCAGTTTGGGCAACATAGTGAGACCCTGTCTCTACAAAAAATTTACAAATTAGCTGGGCATGGTAGGGGCATGCCTTTAGTCTCAGCTACTCAGGAGGCTGAGGCGGGAGAATCACTTGGGCCCAGGAGGTGGAGGCTGCAGTGAGCTGTGATCCTGCCACTGTACTCCAGCCAGAGCAACAGAGCAAGACCCTGTCTCTTAAAAAAGTACAGTGCTCTATTTTCAGAAATATCAAGGTAATTAAAGTGCAAATAACTGAGAATTAACTATATTGGTACGGCATTTGGCCCAAAGAAGCCTTCCTCCTTTTGAAAAGTAAATACGTTGCATGGCATGCATTTGCTCTTCTACCCAGAGAAAGGATGCTGGGCTGCTTCAGACCTCTGACAATGGATGCACCCCGAGGATTAGATCAGAAAGATGGACCTGCCAGGGGAAAGCGTCAGAGGCTTCTGTTCCTACCATCAGTACCACGGATGCAATGAGAGTGTGGAGCCCGCATGGAAATGCCCCACGGGTTTCACAGTGTCTAAAGCTGACCCTTGGGGACTAATAGAGAAGAAAGATTAACAGACCAGCATCCCTCATTTCTAATACTGAACTGGCTTCTACTGAGCTTTTGTTGTGCAGCTGGGATTGGAAAGGAAGCCGCAGGAGCAGAAGTGAATGCAAGCTAACAGAAAGGAAGGCAGCGCGGAGGACGCCGCAGCCCCAGCGCCCTCACAGTCTCAGCAGAGCTGTGGGGATTGTTCTTCACATCTGACGCCATGGGGTTCTGGAAGTCTCTTAAGGGATATATTGGAACTGACTTGTATTATTTGGAAATCGACATAAATTGTCTATTATTAAATCTCACTGAATTAAGTCCAACTGTACCATCTGAACACCGTTTTAGCATTCATCCTGAAATGGCTGGAACATGATTTGTTAGCTCCATAAGGGTAAAGAAATATTAGCTGGGTGCAGCAGCTCATGCCTGTAATTCCAGCACTTTGGGAGACTGACATGGGAGGAAGGATTGAGCCCAGGAGTTTGAGACCAGCCTGGGCAACATAGTGAGACCCTGTTTCTATAAAAAATTAAAAAATTAGCCAGGTGTGGTGGCACATGCCTGTAGTCCCAGCTTTTAGGGAGGCTGAGGTGGGAACCTTGTCTGAGCCCAAGAGGTTGAGGCCGCAGTGAACTGTGATTGCACCACTGCACACCAGCCTGGGCGACACAGTGAGACCCTGCCTCAAAAAAAAAAAAAAAAAAGAGAAGAAAGAAAGAAAGAAATATTGAGCAACGACTGACCAAGAGCCCATATGGAAGCAAAGAAAAATAAAACAAGCCTAATTTTTAGTAGTGGTTTCTGCATGTGGAAGACAGCAAATGGTTGAAGAGTGCATTTGGGATTGCAGGACTTGGTTAGTGTCAGAGCCCGTCCTAAAAGACGATGATGCAGCAGGACCCTACTTCTCCTTATGACTTCCTTTCTTCCTCCACGCTCACCCTCCGTGCTTCCTTCCTGAAGGAGGCCATTCCATTATTAAAATCAGGAACTGCAAAGAGCTAGCAGGGAGCATCGTTGGCCAGTGAGGACATCTGAGGTCCCAGTGGGGAAGATTTTTTTTTGGTTGGATGGGGTCTTTCCACAGATTCACATACGGTCATCACAACAGCCACAGCATCTGCTGAAGTCTATTTCTAGCATCATGTTGCACATTCCAGACCCCTCATTATTTGCAGTGGTCCACATTCATTCATGAATACTTATATTTACCACTTGTTCGTTCAAATACTTATTGAGTATGTGCTTAGCTTAAGAGTCAACAGAACACAAATACGCCTTATATCTAGGCTCTGATGCCCCAAGGG